ATGTGTGCATGTATGTGTGTGTATGTTCAGTCAGGAACTGAGCAAGATTAGTCAGTGGAACCATAACTGTCAGCCCCTTTACAGGAAGCCGGCTGCACAGAAAAGTAAACACCAACAAAAGACAACAGCAGCCTTGTGGCCTTGGGTGTGTACGCATACTTCTACGTATACTGATCTGATACTTCTACTTTTACAGACATACGGTAGACATACGGTATACATTCTGTATACATTCAGGCATACGTTGCATACATATATATTCTTCCTCCAGAGCTCAAAACCCCCAAGACAGAAGAAACCTGCGCAAGCTCTGCAGCATGAGACCTCCAGAGCTCTGCGAATCCTTCCATGAGGTCGTCGAAGAAATCGCTGACCTGTCGTGAACCCCAAATCTACAGTATAGTTCTTGGGCGGCCCAGTTGGACAGCAACACGACAAATAAATGTCACAGTTCTAGTTGTCATTGCTATCTTTGCCTGTTATTTTTATTAGTCTGTTCGCTGTGTACACTTTGGCTCCGGAGTGCCAACTCAAGAAGTTGAAGCGCCCCCCCCCCCCCCCCCCCATCTAAGCAAAATCTTCAAATATCGTTCACCCCAGCAAGCCCTGCAGCAGCTACGGGAGCCTCGAGCTTGTTCTTCTCCCCTTTGATCTTATTCTTCTTCGAACCCTCGAGTTCTTCATCTGCGCCACTGTCTTCCTGAGTCGGGGGGAGAAATCCTGGCGCTTTAGGCTACACGTTTTGGGGGTCTGGTCTTAAGGTTTAGGGTTGGGTTTGCATTTTTTCGTTGGTGGGGGTGGGGGTGGGGGTGGGGGGGTGATTAGGACTCAGGGTCTGGGTCGGAGTCTGAAGCTTGGGGTTTCAGGGGTCGTGTGCCGCGGTTTCGCGGCATTTGTAGGGTTTCTGAGTCGGGGCTTGGCTTCTCTTCGGCATGAGTGGCTTAGTGGGAAACCGGAACCTCGGATGAGTCTACGACATCCTCCAGGCAAGCCACATGCTGTCCTCCTCCTCCTGAATATCCTCGTGTCGCTGATCGATGCTGTCTTTAGTACTGCTGTCGCGGTTCTCGCTCAAACCCCACTTCAACCCACTTCTGCAGACTCTTCCAAGTAGCCCTACCAGCAGTTCTGCGAGGTGTACAGTTTCATTCGGAAAACGCTATTTCTCTCCCCTCTCCGAAGGGGGGGGCGGAAGTCTGTCAGCTGTGGTTGGGTCTAACAGTCGAGCGCACTTGAGACTTGAGACCAAACCCACGCTGCATTCACGAATTGAGCTTCAGCGTCGGAGACTCGATCCATTCTTGAGGGACCCAAGAAGTAGCAGTCTTGCTATCACCAATGTTCATGTGCTGCAACTCTGAACCCTAATCAGCCCCTAAACACCAAAAACCCCACAACCCTAAACGTAACCCCAACAAACTGATCCACATCTCCTGGGGCTCCTGCATCCAAGTCTTCATCCTCTTCCCCCAGTTTCCCGGAGGACGACGCTGCCTTTCCAGGGTGCTTTCTCGGATTTAGGCCTTTCGTGGCTTTAGGTTATTGAAAAACTTCTTTCAAGGGTCCAAAAAGGGCATTGCACAGGGTTCTTAAAGGGCTCTGATTATGAGTGTTCATTGGTCTGTAGGATGTGGGCGTAAAGCCTCGGGTGTGCACTTGGGCCCCATGCTTGGAAAACCCGCGATGGAGCACTAGCAGAGCTTATGCACCACATTGCTATGTAGCTGCCCAAACCAAGTACCCAGACAGGCAATAAACCCTTTTTGCTGCTTGCAGGTTCTGTTGGTTTGCAGATAACACGTCTTCCATGACCAGTCTGAGAGGAAGCTCAGAATTCCTCGGCTCACGCCTGTCACCTGAAGGCCCCTTATAATAAACCCTGACTTCCTTGCGAGTCCACAGAGTCGAGGCTCTGATCAAGCCGTGTCCCACAGTCTGCGCACCCGAAGGGTTGTTGAGAATAAAGGATCCTAACGAACCCAGAAAGCCATGGAAGCCGTAAGATATAGCAGCATCTACATCAGGTACACAAAAAATTGAATCTCCTAAACTCTCTGCGAAAGCTAGGTTTGGTTCCCCAGTGCCCCCTATCAACAAGGGTGCCCTTCTTCTCATAGTTCTTTCTGAGGAAGGAGACCCGGACAACTCTTGAAAGCAACCGCGTGCTACATTACTGGGAGCCCTTATTCGCGCCAGTTAAATATATGCGTATTTATACAACTTGTATACATAATAGGCCACTCGTATAAACAGGTGTTTATATATATATATATATTTATGTGTGTGTGTGTTTATCATATATATATATACACACACACNNATGTATATATATATATATATAAGGCATATACATATATACATACATATATATATATATATATACATACATGTATATATATATATATACATGTGCGCGTATATCTGTACATTTATGTAGAGCGTACCCCTCAGCAGAGAGAGCCTTGCCTTGCTTTTTTTGCTGCTTTTGGCTCCCGTGCTGTCGCCTGCACAGAGTAGAGCTAAAGGAGCAAAGGAGAGAGGGGTCTACGCTGACAAGGTGGAGAGAGGTATACTAGCACGGTTTAGGGTTTAGGGTGATTATACTGAACCCTGAAGCCTAAACCAAATCTATGCTGGGTAACTTGGTGCGCGCATCCTTAACGTCCAAACCTCCAGATCTTGGAAAACCGATCTTAAGCGTCTGCAGCGCGGAAGACACGAGCATTGTTGAGCCCCTGAACTCAACACCCGAAATCTGCCGGTGAATCCAACAACTGCTTCCTGCCACATTATCGCCGAATCTGAAGTCCCGAGCCCTACACACCTACCCCAAAAGATCCCTTAAGATCCTTGAGTCCTGAGGCCGCTTACGGGGCTTCAGGTGTACGACTCTAGGAGGGCTCCATGCCCTGAGTGCAGCTCCAGCTTTTTCCGAGTTGCCCGCGCATGGTCCGAAACAGCCTCGGGGTGAACTCTCAATCTCAAGGCATCGGACACCCCAAAGCTGAAGCCCCCACGTCGAAAGCTCTGAGCCCGGAAAGCTTAAAACTCGTAATCCCAAGCCCTGGAACAAGACAGGAGGGCAGATCAAGACCTTCAAACCCGAAAGCCCTAAACCCAAACGCGACAAGTATAAAGCCCTTAGCCTTAACCCGATCGACCTTGCAAGACCAGACCCTAGACCGTGTGGGTTCCACCACCTCACTCTCCCTCGGCTCACTCCGAATTGGAGACCTGTCATCAAAAGGGCGATGTCAGGAAGGCCGTAATCCCTAAGCCCTTGCATCTCTGGGAATGAGGGCTTACGGACTTGCAGGATTAGGGCTTAAGACTCTGAATCGGCCTGTGTTGAACAAGATTCAGAGAGCTTGAGAAAGCATTGCTTGGCTCAGTGGCAAGAGGTATAGGCACTTCAGCAATACTTTTCAACAGTAACGTACCAAACCGCTCCGTATTGTTTTTGCTTGGAAGCAGCGAGCTGAACCGAACTGTGCTTGCTCGTGCAAGCACTCGTGGTAACAGCAATGTTTCAAGCGGCTGACAAACGGATGCGATCGGTTCGGCCTCTTGCGATTTGGGTAGCCTGCGATTGTCTGGTTCAAAGTACTCACTAACCATACAGACCTCTTACCTCTTACGTGCTTCTTCCTTGAGGATGTGTACGGACTGCATAGAGCCTGAAGTCTAGACTGTGACCGGAGACACTGGAAATCACCGCCCACGCCCTGTAAGCTTCTTTTAGGCCGTCGCAATGCTCTTGCATCGAATCGGCGGCGAGGTCGATCATCCAGGAGATGCAAATGCACACCGGCTGCTTCGTGCATGGTTCAACGACGACATGCTGACAAGCTAATCACCACATGACCTAAATACAATCAATGACACAAACCTATGCCCTGCAACGACAAACCCTGTCCTAATCAGAATCACAACCCCTCGTCCATGGCAATGTTGAAGCAGCCTCTCCACCTTTCAGTAGATCCCCAATGCCAATAGCAAGATCCTTCTTCGTCGATTCAAGACCCGAAATGAGGTACGAGCTATATACTAGATACCCCTACATGTCAAAAAAGAACCATGCAGTCGGGTGCCCATCTGCCCGGGATGGGCGCCGCTGCGTCGAACGTCTTGTTCGACACGAGCAGAGAATCGGGTTCGACCCCCTAAGTGTGCTTATGGGGAGTAGTTTAGGCTTCAGGCGCGTTTAAGGTTTGTTTTCTCTCAGCCCGATGCCGGTGTGCCCGAATGTCCAAAACACCTTAATTAAGATTCTCACAGCTGTTGCTAGTATGATCGCATATACTTAGCTGTCCTAAGATCATTCGTACCATACCATGTATAAAGCCACCAGGGGTGCTGTCACACTTGCTTTACAGTCACGTCGGAATGTACCGAATTCACTGTCCTGGACCCGATGACGACTCGTCAACACCCCGAAGCTTGACTTGTGGCCCCTCCAAAATCGGCTTTCGCGCAACTTACGTTTGTGTTGAACGTTTCTCCGAATAGGCAGCGCAAAGGGAAACCTGAACGCGATATATCCGATATATCCAACTCAGGAGCGCCATGCAGTGTGGCGTGTAGAGGCTTATGGTTTTGCTCAGGCTGCTTAGAAAACATCTGCTTGAAACATTCAGGGTTGAGAGGGTGTCAAGCCCTGTGCCACTAGTTCGAGTTCGAGTTCCCCGAGCTCCCGCGAGAAAGCATGGGATGCTCATCCAACGGCGGCAGCGAAGGCCTCGAGGCGAAAGGGAAAAGGGTTCCAATAATGGCTTCAGCACGAGGGTTCGATGGTATAGGGGCGTTAGAAGTAATTGTTCGAATAGGTTTCGGGTTCTTGCCTCCCGCTCGGCTAGGACAAACCCCGCATGGAAGAGTGGTGGAGTCTAGCATGGGTGGTACAGTAGGGTTCCGCGTCGAGAACTTAAGGTCTGCAGGATGCTAAAAGGGCTTGTATGTATAATCATGTTCTTGCATAGTTCCAAGGAATCGTGGATTTGCTTTGGAGGTCTAGGGGCCTGGATGCTAAACTCACTCAGGGCTTCGTATGATGTGGGTGTTTTGCATAGGTTCTGTGTATACTCTGTCGTTCTCGCACGTAAGGATCCCAGAAAAACCAGGAAGTCTTCCAATTCTTTCGAGGACCATCTGCTGTTTCAGGGACGTGTTTCAGGGACTGGAGTTAGATATGTACAAGCTTGGCAGGGGTTTAAGATAAGCGGAAGCCCCAAACTTGACACGCTGCAGCCCCAAACCGCAGAAACCGAGCCCGCTGAAGCGGTGTTGTGGTTTCGAGATTTCGCGGAAAGCACAGCGGAGTTCTCTCCTTCGACTCCCACAATCCTCAACCCTGATTGCTGCTTGAAGACGGTTTTTATTAATAGTAGAAACAGAATCAGAACAACAGCACTAGTCATACAATCATATCATCAGTATTCAATAACCTTACGTAACTTTTGTCACCAATAATCTTACGTATACTTCTGGCTATAATGACAATAACAAGGGCTGCAAGTAATCACTCTCCAATTTGGGAACTTCGAATTCCATCCGTGGCCTAAGGGTTGGGCTGCAGGGCATTAGGTTTTCGGCAGCATAAGGGAGTCAATAATTCGAATGCGGTTATGGGCATACTCTACTTTACATGTTTTACATAGGGACTACCAGGGGGTACGGGCTAAGAATCATTCGACCCCTGCACTTTAGGGTTTGGAAACTTCCCAACTCAGTTCTCAAGCAAAGCGTCTGTGATGAAGGCTCTCTAAAAGGCGGTGAGTTGCAGCTCACGGTGGAGTCCTGCACGCAGCTCTTATGGCTTCTTTGGGCTTGGGTTCAGAGCAATCGTCGCTGTATGACTCGAGTTGGCTTTCGGGTTTGACTGACGGGAAACTTGAACACAAGCTTTGTGTAGACTGGAAGGAATAATAACCTTCCCCAGTCTTCGGGGCTTCTATAGCATCGCATTAAATGCTCTCTGTGTTTGCGTGCGGGGTTTGGGGGCAGGAGGCTTACAGCTGGCCGGTTCCTTCATGCGACATGTACAGATCGACCTGGGGGAGCGTATGTGAGCTTCTGAAATACAAGGCCCTGAAGTGGATTAACGCTCTGGACCTATCTAACAGCACCATCTCTTCTGGAACCGCAATGAAGACGAGCCTGCAAACTCGAGATGTGCAGTCCGACAGAGGAACTTGCTCGGTTGACTCAAGTTGCATGCCAAATCCTCCAACTGCTCCTCGAGTGTAGGAGCTTTCAGAACTAGAGTAACCCTTCCACGAATCACTACTTTGGTTCCCTTCAGCCCTTCATCTAAGCTTGCGGCTTAGGGCTTCGGGTTTCGGTTCGGACCCGGAAGCCATATGTCCAATATAGGGGCCTTAATAATTGGAATGGGGTTTTGGGGTATATTATACTATAAGTATAATAGGAGCCACCAAAATAGTATAGGAAATTATTAAGACCCGTTTAGGACTTCAATTCCATAGGCTTCCAGCCTCGGCGCCGGCGGGGCCATGCTTGGAAGCCAATCGCTGGAGGATTTCAGGTTTCACCTGGTCTTAGGCGCTATGAGGTCTAGAGGGTTTTGGGCTCAGTTTCGGACTTCAGGTTTCGCCCTTCTGCCAGTGGGGCTTGAGGGCTCAGGTGCGTCAACACAGCCTCGCGAATGCACCAATGCTTACTTGCTGCTTCCTCATGACGGCTGCTGTCTAGACCCAGAACCCCAAACCCGCGTGTGATCGTTTCGGCCCTGTGGGATTCAGCCCAAGTCGCTCTCGCACGCCACTCATCGGGCAGGATCTTCACGATGAACTTGACCTCGGGATGAGCGCATCATGCCATCGGTACTTTCGGTGGATCCATGGAGAGGCTTCAGGAATGCAAGAGCGGAGAACTCCTAGCAGCTCCAGCGCCGAGGGAACCGTCCGTCCGTCCGTCCGTCCGTGTGTGTGTGTGTGTGTGTGTGTCTGTAAGGGCTATAAGTGCCGCTACCAGTATCAATAGACGAACCCAAAGGCCTTGAGCCTGGGCAAAGCCCAAAAGCCAGCCAAGTTTCTCTAGCAAAAGGTACGGACATGGAGAATGACTCCCCTCAGGCTATGGTCAAGGCTAGCTTTGACCCCAAACTCCCCCAAACGAGAGTCCTCAACTCCCTAAGCCCGAAAGCCTTAAAGCCTAGAAAAATAAGTATATAGATTAGGCCTTCAACCCCCTGCAAGGCCGAAGAAGCCGTTTCAAGACCCTGGACGACAGCATCCCGGGGAGTTCTGGAATTTTAAGGGTCCCTTGCTAGGGGTCCTTATGATAAGCATCCTAGGATTGAGGGGTCTGGATAAGGGGCCCCTGAATGTTCTGAAACTGTCTCGCAGTAGCTCTGGCTTGGTGAAACGGGAAAGGCCGTTGGCTTCAAAAAGAACATATATATATATATATAGCCTGATTCGAGCCGCACGCGCTCCGTTTTTGCAGGCAGACACACACACACACACACCCCCTTTGTGTAGCA